AAATACCCAAAAAGAAGTTTGTAAAAAAATAGGTGAACATGGCAATTCTCAAAACAAACGTAACTTTTCCAGTGGATGATATAGCATATCTGCCGTCTCCAGGAAGCTGCGTCTGGAACAGTCACACTTTGGAGAATAACGTGACGTGGCAGCACGAGTGCAACACCTGCGTCTGCAGCGGCGGCATAGTGAAATGCACTAAAGTATGGTGCGGCCTCGGAAACTGCAGAACCACCAATCAGCAGCAGAATACCATGTGCACTCTCAATCAAGTGTGTGTTCCTGCTTCGGGAGAATCGTGCTTGTCTCCTCCATGTTTGCCGTATGGGGAATGCAGGGAACTGGAAAGCGGTAAGTGAATCTCCTCCATGTTTCCTCTCGTATGTCTAAAGCAGTTTCTTTATCCAGGGCGGCGCGTGAAAGCGCCAGTGCTCCCAAGTCCTAGTTCCTGTTGGCCCAATCAGGCGACTTTGAGCAATACCTGCGCTCGTCTCACTCTACTCGTCGACAAAGTGAAACTTCCCCAAGGAACTACAGTGGAAGGTCTATGTGGGGACCTCAGGGGCCTTTTAGCCAACCAGCAAGCTATTGAAGGGCTTCAAAATCACTTGGTGCTACTTTGCGATTTAAAAACCGACTACAATGACACCGTCGAAGTAACTCTGGTAAGCAACGTTCTTAACTCATTCACAAACTTTCCCGTCGATTCGTTCTAAGTTTATGTGTGTTTTCAGTTCGGAAACCAGTGGGTTCTGGATGGAATTCGCGTAGTCGGAGAGGCGATTTCAAGGAAACAAACTTCCCTACTAGCATTGGCTTCGATTGTGGAAGTCAAAGTGGAAACAGCCCTGGTGTCTGGCGAGCAACAAAGCAACAAGCTACTGGTGGCTTTGGTGTGCTTCATCATAATCGGAGTGGCAACGGCCATTCTAGCTGGGGTTCTCTACTTGAGGCAGCGAAGGCGGAACCTGGGAATGAGCGGCGTCAATTTGTCACCGTCCACCGAAACGTGCCACCGTAATCATGAAGATGAAAAGTCGAATAATTTGCAAAACGAAGAAAATCTGAAAAGGTAAGTGGCAAGCCTAAAAATTAAAAAAGGGCGCACAAGAAACAACAGGTATATAAGGCGTTTAATGTAACTTATATAGGATGTCCAAGATAAAGACCTCAATAATTAAACGAAATACTTGACTTTCGAAAATGTCCCCTTGATTGCGATGCTTTTTCCTAATTTAACCGACTTCGTATCTCTTACGGTTTTGGAGATCCCCATGCAATGCATCCTTATCTTGGTCACTCTGTATAGATAACTATTACCGAGTTTTCGTCAATTTTGTCGCTAATTCACGTAATCAAATATGTATCAACCCGAAATGTTTTCAAAAAGTACCAACTTCCATGTTTTAAACAAAACACCAAGTATATTGTTGCACGCTTATAAAGCTGATTATATTTGCTTATCGATTCCTATACCTATCTAAAGCAGTTTGCAAATTTTGAAATAATCTTCATATTTTTTTATTAAAACTTCGACCATAGAAAAAGAAAATAGAAATCTGGTATTAAAACGACATTTCTATTCGTGAAATTGTCAAATTTTCGCTTGAAAAATCCCTATGCTTAGGGCCTCACGGAGAAATTGAGGCTGTCTTAGTGATCTGGTAACAAATGAAAACGACTCCAATTGCATTTTTTAAATTGAACACTGTATATTTTCCGCTATATCATGAGCTTTAAATTTGGAAAAAAATGGAAAAAATTAAAATAACTTTCGGTGTGATGTCGGTACTTCCGTAAAGTTAACGATTTAGGTATAAGAACACAATCTATCATTTAATAGGGAATGTAATGGCAATTGCAATTGTGATGTATTTTAATGTGTGATATCATCATATGGCTGTTGACGAACTGTGATTGTTTTTTAAATTCATGATTTTTTTTTAAACTATTTTATTTTAGAAAAACTGATGATGGTGGAAAAATACACCGAAACGTATTTTAATTGATAAATAAAGACGATAAATGACTGAAACCCAGAAATTAATTTTGATTTGGAATTAAGATTAAACTTAAATCGCCCTTTATATCAAAATCGCGAAAAAATTTCTCAGAGCTATAGCTTAATAAAAAAAAATAATATGCAGAATGTCTCATTTAAAAATCGAAGTTGTACGCTCGCAAAACTATATATAAACTCAAACAAAAAGGTTATTTGAAAATACAAAAATAAAGAAACGAAGCAAACTTTCAATAATGTTGAAACAGACGATTGTAATTTTTGGTTTTGTTTCAGATATGCGAATCCTCTAAAAGAGGACGTCGGAAGCATGGCAAGCATTAACTCGGCAAGTGCGTGCGGTCTAGATATGCCGCGAGTGAGTGTAGTTCGACCGCTATCGTCAATGCTACCGACCGAAGGATCGAGTGAAATGTTGGAAATGATCTCCGAAGTGGAATGTCCGGGTAACAGAAAAACGATGCTGGTTCTGCCGGGTACCAGCGCTTCCGAAACGACGCTAAAACTGAGCGAAAGCATGACTTTGGATGGATTAAGTCCAGCCCATAGAAGTAGTCAAATAATGCTGTACAAAGCTCAAAATCCGGACGTGCGGAAAAACACGGCCCCGTTCGACGACTCGTCAGGGCACAAAGACTTTAGTAAAAACATTATTAATGTAAATAAACAGAGGACATTACAACAGAATACTAGTGCTAGTGCGGACGTGCTTACCGTTCTCGTTTAGAGGGCCAGTTTACATATAGGCGAATTTTAGATCGTATTTGTCGCAGGTTTAAACCTTGTTAATCTAGTACGATGAGCAGTTACTTAGAGTATCTACTATTGTAAACCTTAAATTCGTGTTGTGCAATCTTTGGACCTAGGAAAGGAAAGTGTGCGAAACTTAATTAACAAGCGCAATTGACGTATTTTACAGTAAACAACTTCCTGACTATGGCAAGAGTTTAGGTTTTACATTATTTTCATATAAGATTTTATAATAAATAGGTATAATAAAAAATGTCTACACTAGTATTCATTCTAGTGACCGAATAAATTTGAAGTTAAGTTCCACCTTTTTTAGTAGTTAAATGGACTGAAAGGAAGGAAATATTCAAATCTGTTTAACACACTTCACACTTTTGACCATGATTTTGAAACTTCTATCATTTTAATTTTATCAAAGTTAAAGTAGCATTTATTATCAATATTACACACAACAGATTTGAGTGTTTTCCTAAATAATCTTATCTAAATTAAGTTTAATAACTGACCCTCTTGGTTAGTAAACAAATCACTTTGCGATGTTTCGCCTTTTTTAAGTGGAGTTTGATCTCGTGTCCAAGAACCAGGTGACGATTACGCAGAAAAACGTTATTTAAAATAAATAGTGTGATATTATTTAATATTTCAAATTTTGTTTTTATACTTGTTAGATGTTTAAAAACTTTTTATTTAAATTTATTAAGTCTGCAATTCGGATTAAACGTGTACATACGACTTGTTTTTATTTGTATTTATTGTATCATTGTTCCTGATTTTTTTATGCCTTTTTATTGTAATTTTAGTTTTGTATTTTTTGTTCGCGTTTTATTTTTACGTTCCACGTGACCGTCTGTGAAACTGCCTAGATTAATATTTATTTTTTATAGGTCCACTCTTTGTGTAATATCAATTTGGAGACGTATTTTTGTAAATATGTGTATACCGACTATATGGGAAGCTTCATTCGCTTTAATTGATCGATATTTTAGAGAAGTTCAATCGAAAAAGCCGATAAATATGTGCTAAAACTAATTTAATGAAGCGTCTCGTATTTGCAGTATTGTATAGCGAAAATAAGTGTAGAGAAAAAATGTTTTGTTTTTTAAAGTTATTAAGTTCCACATTACATGATCATTCCATTTTCCGTAGTTAAATGTATAACTTTTAGAAATATTTTGTTAGGATGACGAAAATAGTACTTATGTCTAATATAACAACTTTAAAATAGTGCCTTTGTTGTGCCTGACCTCCAATTGGACTTTTTTATCAATGAATATTTACATTAGCTATTATCGAGATATTAAAAGTATTAAAAGGATTTTATGCGGATGTAACTGTATATTTTGTAAAAAAAGTATATTTTATAGAAGGTCTGCAAACTTGCTTTGTAATTAAAAATAAATCAGATTAGAGCTTGTCAATTATAATAATAAATGATTCATAAATAAATAGTGATCAGTTGTCCTCATTAAATCCCCAAGAAAAAATGAAAACGCAAATTTCGCTCATGCGAGTAAGGCGCGGGAAAAATAATCATACACGGGAACAATGATTAAACATACAGCTATAGCTGTAGCTTTATTTACAAGGTGCGGAAAAGGAGAAAGCCAGAAAAATACGTTTACAAAAGAAGTTATACATTTGTTTTTAGTTTGGAAGGTATAAAAAACGATATGATGATTTAAAATACGTAAGTACGTCTCTGTTGTCAGGCGAATCAATAAACTCGTTCTGCATTATTCAAAAACAAACTGAATGGTTTGGACTTTCACAGATAGCAACATGCATCAGTAGTAAGTAGAGAGAACGCGAAGTATTGGCGCCGTATGCAGTAAATAGCACCGAACAGCGTTTAAAAATACAATAATGGCGTACATCAAGTAAGTTTTTAAGTACAATTAACAATATGATAACTTCTGTGTAATGGGTTTCATAATATGTATGTACTTCAATGAGTTTAATAGTTCTTTTCCGCGGTCTGCCTTGAGATGATTTTAGAAGAAAATTGCAAAAATTACAATCATGAATATAATTTACGCAAATAATTTAAATCCAAGCATATCTTATAGATACAAGGTTATAGTAATTTATTTTAAGATATAAATGCGTTTACTTCAAGAAGCAACGCACATGCCTCAAAGCGCATGTAGGTTTTTAAAAAATGTTATCTGTTCGGCTTCAATGACAAAAAATCCGCTTAGTAACATCTACAAAGATTTGCCTGTAGATAAATCCACATTTAATCGTTTTTTGTTATTCGTTAAATTATATCCATAAGGTGATTTAAAATTTTTGCTACCACAATTGTGTCTCAAGTATGAAAAACATATACAACTGACATGATACCTTTAAATTGTAATTTAATCTCCAATTGGAAGACTGTATTTAAGTATAGTTAAATAGCGTATTAAGAAAACTGAGTAATTTGCTTTAAAGTTGTCAAGCGTTTTAATTAGCGCTATTAATCCAGATAAATTAGAGAGCAAGAGCAAACAGGTCAAAGTAAAAAAACTATATTTCAATTATAATTTAGAAAATAATTAGGGTACTTTAAACGATTTTTATAATTTTACCAATTAGTTTTTTACATTCGTTTGAAAAGGAAAATATATTTATCGTACTTTAAAACACCGATCAATAAGATGATTACAGAACGTTTTAATACAAATAATTTTGAAAACACCCACCCCACAAACCATGCAGAGGGAAATAGGCGCATTTCCGAGTAAGGAATAATAAGGAAATATATCCAATCAACCACCCAAGAGATATTTTTATAAAACAGTTATTAACAACAAATAAAACGAAAATTAAATAAAATGTACAAAAGGGATTTTTACAACACTTAAAATTGTTTACAGACGCAGTTTGACTCCCGAACAGAAACAATTTTACGAAGACAATGGATATATCGTCGTTAGAAACAACGTTGATCCTGAAGTTCTGGATAATTGCATGTAAATATATTTCATATTTAATTAAAATATTGGTTTTTTATTTAGGATTATTAATGTGTAGGTATTTTACTCAAATTGATAATATTGTTTTCTTGAACCAGGAAACGATTCATAGATATTTGCAAGGGTTCGACAGATCACCAAGTTTTTATGGTCATGAAAGATCCATCGTTGAAACATTCAAATGCTAAAGGCGAACACTTAATTGATAAGGTAAGCAGACTGATAGGTAATCGCACCCGCGTCCCATCAAAGTAAGATAACTAGTGTTTTGTTAAGTGTGGGCAAAACAGTTGATTAGAACATAAGTATAACAAGAAAACAATGAGTTTTTTTAGAAACATCAAGAGCAAATAAATATTTAAATATTTTAATATTATTCTCAATAGTCATATTATTATATGTGATTGATTCTTGATAAATGAACTCTTGTATTTATTCTCTACAAGGTAGTTATTTTCCGACCAACAAGCAATGAACGAACAATTAATAATCGGTTGAGCGAAAAGAAAAAACAGGTATTTAAGTGACTAAAAAGCAAAATGATATTTTCAGTTGCAAGACTTTGCTTTTGATCCTGTATTTTGGTCATACGCATCCGATGTAAATGTCGTCAACGTGGTTGAGGAAATAATTGGACCGAATATTACAGTTGCACACTCAATGTTCATAAACAAACCGCCAAATGCCAAAGCTAGTTCTTCCCTACATCCCTTGCACCAGGTAAACAATTAATCTGAACATGTACTTTTGAAATTTATAAACCATTTAACAGCGAATATACAATTGAATTATTTCAGGACATATTCTATTTTCCATTTCGTCCACCCAACAAAATAGTGGCTTCTTGGACCGCACTAGAACGCGTAGATGAGTCAAATGGATGCCTTTATGTAATTTCAGGCTCCCATAAAGGGCCCATGTATGAACATACATACCCAGAGGTGAATATCTAGTATTAAACTAATGCAAAAAAAACGTACTACTCAATAAAGCGTGTTTCAAGGGATTTCGAAAGCCTATGTACTTGGGAGTGCAAGGATTTGATCATCTGAAAAAAACATTCGTAATAATGGAAAAAGGGGATACGGTGTTTTTCCATCCGCATATCCTACACGGGTCAGGACCGAACCGAACACAAGTAAAGTAAAATCCAAAAGTAAGTTCCTAGACAATTACATTAAATATTTTTAGGGGTTTAGAAAGGCCATATCTTGCCACTATGCGGACAGCAATTGTGAGTTTATCGACGTGAGAGGAACCAGCCAAGAGCAATTGGCTGTTGAATTAGAGGCAACAGCTCAAAAATTAGGACTTACATCAACAAACTTTATCGTAAGTTCAAATCGGTATAAGTACAGTTTTACGGGCACTGGATGGCACAAATCATTGGATGTCATAAAGTCCAATTGAATGTTTTTCAGGATGTATGGAAAATAAAAAGCCGCCTAGTGAGAGGCAAACCGGGAAGTTTCCAACAGATCAGCAGTCGTTTGTAAAATGCCCTGTCTAAGCTAATCGATTAACAGAATTATTAGCTTAATTAATATTCCAAAAACAATATTAATAGAGGTAATTTTAAAATGATGTTGAAATTATATGATGTGAATATAAACGTTACTGTTACGAGTGTATTATAGTGAGTGGAAACACTGGCCATTTATTTTTTATTACTAACAATAGCTTAATTACTACAGTAACCAATCAAAAAGTTAAATACAAACGTGAATTATTCTTCGGAATGTACCTTAATAAGTAATAAAATCGATCACTAATTCTAGTTTCCCTTAATGAATTTTCTTCTAGTTGTTGACAACTGCCGAAATAAGCATTACATTCACCAAACTTACTATACAATTAGTCAAAACAAATACCAAATAATAGACATAAAATATTAGAATGGCAATCATTTTCCTTAAAATTTAGTAAATAACCTACCTTAAAAGCAAATTTGAAAACGTCTGTTGGAAATAACTAAGGTGTCTTGCTGTGCCAACTCAGTGAGGCAAATTTTCCGGAAAGCGTGCCAACAACTATCTGAAAACGAAAGACAATAATCAAAAATCTGTCTAAGAAAATTAATATTTCCAACATTTTTTCAAATTTTAATAAAAAAAACTATTTTTAAAAATGTACTGATTATATTCATGAAATTTGGTTTAAAATAAATGTGTTTTAAAAATGTCTAGTGCTTTGCTTAAGCATTGTTAAGAAACTAGTTTTGAAAATTATTCTACATGAGAAGAATGAGTAGTTCTTTTAATGATAAAAGACTGCTTAGTAGACCGGTTACACGGCCCTAGTGGAAATGTTTTCCCTTCGAGCAATACGCCCTTAACGGAACAGAGAAAACTATTCCCCTTCAGTGTTTGAAAAAGTTTTCCAACTAACCTGTGTGTCTAAAACCGCCATACATTGAATGCTTCCCCCAGGACCGTATAGTTTCGTAATGAGCTTAATGCCATCCAAATCGTAGATGTAAATTGATCCGTTATAACAGCCCACATAAAGACGGTTGTACTTAATTTTCATGCAGCTTATCCCTTTCGCTCTGTCCGCAATAATGCTATTGATCAATTTACCTTCCTAAAACAACAGTGCGTGTCCCCAAACGATGCCAACATTTATTTGAAAAAATGACTTACGTGGAACGAAAAAACTAGGATATTGTCTTTGGCAGTACCACAATATAGACTACTTCCTTTTATTATTATGGAATAAACGGTTGGAACGATCGCTTCGTTGCTGAAATTCCTGAGACACAATCCGGACATGGCATCTCGCACATAAATCGGGGCATTTCGATGTCCAACTAGTAAAATGCGGCGAGGTCCTTCTTGGGCAGCTTTCACCACCAAAATATCACTACCCGTGTTTTTCTCTTCAAACTCGACTCTAAATTTCTGGGATTTTCTTTTAACTAAATTGTTCAAATATACATGGACTAACGCTTACTTTAGATGAGAATCGAATCAAAGAACCGTTCCTACAGCCCATAAACAGATAGTCCCACATGTAATCCATGCACATAATTTCATCGCAAATTGGGATGCCTTGTAGTATTTTCCGTCCTCGGAAATCGCAAATCCGTAGAACTGTATCCAAACAGCCCACGTACATGTAAATAAAGTCGTTTAAACTCTTGACGAATTGCATACTGGTTATGGGCGTCTGGGTTACATCTAATGTATATTTCAAACAACTATCGTGCAAAGTTACGTAAACAATATTTCCTGCATCTGTAGCCAGCAACAGATAGTTTTCGTCCACTTTCTGAAAGTAAAAACAAATCATATCAATTTGTCTATAGAGTTGTACACTTTTTTATATATGTAAATACTCCATGGGATTATCACTGGACATTCATAAAGGGTTATGCAACATAAAAAAAGTAAAACCTCAAAATCCAGTAGATTTTAAACGAAAGAAACATTTACAAAGACGTACACCCATGTGTTGATACGATAAGCTTAAAAAGTACTCGCCTGCACCAGTTTTTGAAAAGTCGCGAGACATCAGAAATTGACTAACGAGTTAAGACGCTCACAAAAATATGCAGATATCAAATTTAAACGATGCTAGGCTTTCACGGTCGTTCGTTGCATCTCATGAGTTTCCTTTAATACATCCTTCCTTTCGTACACGATATTTAAAATCATCCTTTTTTAATGGAACTGAGGAAATTTGAAAAGACTTATCAGTAGTCAATATCTGAACAATAGTTTGTTTTATTATTTTTTGTAACACTGTTAAGAAAATAAATAATTAAACATGAATAAGGAGAGGTTTAAAAAAAATTAGATCCCATATAAAGCCCCGAATAAAATCATGCAAGAGTGGGCAATTAATATCGGTGCTGATGAACATTGCACTTGAACAAACAAATAAACTTGAAACTGAATTGTTTCACTTAAATCATGCCTACTAAAACACGAATTTGTCTCCGCAAATAAATAACCTACCTCAATGCATAATATTTTATGCTCCAAACGTAAGTGTATAGGGGACTCAGTATGCTTTTCTAACTTCGCTTCAGCTTCACTATCCGTGTCCAAAGAAATGTCGCAAATTTGTTCATCAACTGTTGTTTTCCGCCTCTTTATAATTCGTTGGTCAGAGTCAATTAAGCTTGCTGTTTTAGTAGCAGTTGGAGGTGTGGAAGTAGGAGTAGTACTAGGCGAGCTAAGGTTATGCATTTGCGATGCCTCGCAGTGATTATGTGGAGTGGAATAGTTCCGCTTACTCAGCGATAATACTGTTTGCATCAGATACCTCCTGTATGTAGTTAGATGTTGCATGCAGCCATCAATCAATTCCATTTTTATTATCACTTTCTCAATATCTGTACATTTGCTCTTTCTGTCTGATGCCAGATTTTGGAAAATCGTATTTTCAAGGTTTTGCAGTATATAATCAGATTCCCCATTATCACTGACTATTCCTGTAGAGACAACTGCAGGTGAATTGGTATTGTCAGCCTCCTCTTCCTCGCGGTTATTCAGATTGTTCACAATCCCATCGGTTACTTGGTTTGCAAACTCAACGGTGGTGTCCAAACTATTCGACATCCACATAGGAGAATCATCGTTTAATTGAGCCTCATCTTTAATGTCCAACGGAGAATCCGCAAGATCATATCCTTCCTCGACCTTTATGTCTAGTTCAAAATTACGATTTTCTGAACTACATCTGTTATTCATCAGATCACCTGTCTGACTTTGTAAACTTTGGTCGGGACAATGAGTCTCAACATCACACTGACGATTTAAAACAATATTATCGTCTGCCTCATCCAAGCATTCCCGTTTAATTTCGATGGAATCGACACCTGCATTAGGTTCCGCAGAAACGTTGAACGGTGCATTGTCAATAGAGCTCGATGTTACATCTAATAAAGGTCTAATCGGGCAACTAGGGCTGCTTGCTGTTGGTTCTTCTATTGCTAAAATGCAGAGAAGACAATAATTAATAGCAAAAAATTAACTAAGTAGAAAAATATGAATGAAGAATACGGAAGCATGTATTTGGACAAGATCTAGCCTACAAATTATTGTAGCTTCTAAATGAATCTTTTGGATGGTACAAAATTGTTTGCCATCTCCTGGTCATTGTTTGTATGTATTTGTATTTTATTTGCATTTATTTATTATCTAATTACTCTTTCGATTGTATTTTTTGGGATTTTCAATGTAGCGGTTAAACTAGATAAATTGTTGTTAGCCAAGGTTTAAATATAATCGAAACAGGTTGTTTCCAAATCAAATCTACGGGAAACCCATCAGGATTACTATTGCTGAACCTTTAGAATCTCCTTTAAGTGCGGTTTTGCTTCTAAGCACGATAACTGTGGTTAATTTTGCCGGTCTAATTGGATTGAAAACTTGTCTCGGTTGGAACTGATCTTCCCTTTTTAAAACGAGCCCGCAATTAATCGGTATATTTGAGACCGCCAATTCTTAGAAATCGTCCTATCAACGGCTTAATCTAGTGTTCATTTGGAAACTAGCAAATAGTCCGTTGAGTGTTTGGAGATTTTTATTAAAATATGAAAAATAAAACTGTTTAGAGTAAAGAAAATTTCAGCTGGAAATAGGTTTGAAATTGGAGCTGATATCTAAACCTCCATGGAGTGGAGTTGGAAACAAAAATCGTAATAAGTATTGGTTTATAGGTGAAATGTGAGTCGTATACTAATATGTTATGAAGATTTTGTCATTTATCAAAGTTTTTGTATAGCGAAAATAAACTATTATTTTAGTGTATTTAGTAATTCAAGCTATATAGCTTTTATATTCTTCCTGTCAAAAATTATTATTGCGTACGCCTTAAACATTTGCTAGTCTGATACAAAAATAAAAGTACAAAATAAAAGTGAAGGTGTTGAAGAAATGACTAAATTAATTTCATAGTTAGTAAAGTTAGGCTGGTTCACGGTGAACTTTCGACCGGGAAAACCTCTGAGTGAAACGATGTTCGAAACTTCACGAGAAATTATTTTCCAATGACCTAAAAATCACTCTTTTCAATCTTCAATAGCAATTTAAACAGCTTCTACCTAAACCAACTTTTGCTTTCTAAGAAGTAAAACTTAAATGTTCAAAGGACCGTAGAGCTTGGGCTGGATTGGCATTTTCAAGTTTTTAACAATCGGATTATCAGAGAAGGTTAAACACACATACAACAACAAATTCGTTTAAACCCAATAAACGCTGACACTGAACTGAACTGAGATGGTATTTTGTGGTCGGACGCAAGTTCGCCTAAATGAAATTTGTCACCATGAAGCAAATCGTATTAATTTACCTTCATTCAAACTCAGTAAATCAACATTGAGACATCGTTTCAGTTCTTCAATTACATTTTCAGGCAATTCTTCGATTTTAATGCCAATGTCTGGAACAATGGAAGTATCGTGATATTCAGGATCCTTCCTATCAGTTAATGAACTCATATCCCTTAAGATTCTGGATATTTCAAGTCTGTTTTGTTTTTGAATATCTGTGACTGCCTGGTTCAAGCCGCTACTGCTATTAGTATATATAAAGTTTTTCTTTCTTCCATCATTAAGATTCGTGATATGATTCATTATTTTTTCATAAATTTGTTCAGCCGTTAAATTCGCATTGCTGGTCTTATTGGTTTTGGTTGGCGGTTTAGCACTATTTGCTCTTCCAGAGCTTTTGATGTTTTTGTCAACTGTGTCGATTTGGGTTCTGTCTTCAGTACTATCTATTATATTTGTACTAACGGGGCAATTGTCATTTCCATCAAATAAATGCCTCATAATTATGGCACTAGTATTTCGAATTTTGCGATCCATAAACTCCTCACTTCCTTCAACCGGTGATTGAGATCGTTCCCAACGAAAACGTCTTCCGATATCATTGTGATGTCTTCGGAACGCGGGTCTTCCTCTAGGCCGATATCTGAAGCATATTCGGCGTTTGTTAATTGTATAAACCATACATTTTTTCTAAATTGTTAGCTAAAGATTTACCAACCCTCTGCTTCGCCCACCACGATAATTGCGTGAACTCCTTTCTCTACCACGCGTTGAATAATTGTTTTTAGATCTGCCCATTTCCATTTAACAAAAAAACTCAATTTTTATATTTGTATTTATTTATATGTACACTTTTTTATGGGGGTTATCTTAATTGGAAACGTCAAAGTCAAAGAGCGCGTTTATATCCTAACGATAGTTGATAGTAAGCCACAGAACATCCTCCCATCGAGGGAATATTCTGTGTCAGTAAATTCAAATATAGTATTTGGTAAACATGTCGTTTGAGTACTTCCAAGTTTTTATAGTTCATATAACACTTTTTCGAAAACTCAGTAATAACTGTTCTATAGGGAGTTAAATTTTAATATTTATAAATTTTAGCTCTTTACTACTTATTACTTAATTAACTATTTAAAAAAATAACAATCATGTATAAGTGCAGTATGAAACGACGCATTTGGGTAGATGTTTTTATAAACTTTTCTATTTTTTTTCGAGTTCTTTCGCTGTATTCAATTGAATTATTATATTTAAATAAATATTAAGACAAAACAAACGTACACATTGCGACTCACTCAAACTGCTTCTGATTTTTTTAAGTTTTATCAATGCATATTTAACATACAAACCGGTGAGATCGCCACAGCTTCCCTTCTGTCCGATTATATTCTTTGCCCGATAGAAACCCAGATTTGACAACCGACATTGAAATGTCTATTTTGTTAGGTTCGTGTAGGTTAATGGTTAGTGTTTGTTGACGTTGTTTAAAATTTTATTTTCCAACTCGAATATCAACAAATGTATAAAAAAATAACTTTTAATTTCCCCTAAAGCAAAAAAATTGGAGGCAAATCAAGTCAAATAAGTCGAGTTAATCGTCAAGGTAATGCACAAACGTATTTGCCACTACCAACATGCATTTCCTTGCAATTTTCATACTACTATTTACTGTTTATTGCCAAAAGGCCGATACTATTAGGCCAGAGTATAAGGCAAATAACAGAAGTGACGTTATACCTCAACAACAGCTTGATCAGAAACAGAACAACCAGCAACCTGTTGTAATGAGTATCAAAGGCCCTGCCGATCGAAATCTGGACGTTAAATTGCCACCGCAACAAGTAACAAGCCCTGGCAAGGGTTCACCAACAGACATTAGTCCTACAAGTATAAATCATACCAGCAACCCCAATACTAAAAGCGTTGGTCAAATCGATCCGGCCTTAGAGGAGGTAAACGAAGTGGAATCAGGCGCAATTACACGTGGAATTTTAGTTGTTGTAGGAATTAGCTGCTTATTTTTGCTATATGTCGGCATTAAAACATATAAGTAAGTTGCCATTATTACACAATCTATCAAATATCAAGGAACACCTTTTTTCCATTGTGCACACTAACACATACCTTATGTAATAACGAGATTCATATTCTTATTTTGCTGTTAACAAACAGAACAAATAATACTTACTCAGAGCGCTGCTTGTGTAATTTTTCTAATAGATAGAATATGCCTATCAAGCTTCGCATATTAATTTCGAATAATTCAGATAATTTATAATAATAATAATAATCGACTGATTTCAGGAGAAAAAAGTTGGATAAATCCAAAATTATAATCAGAAGATATGGAATTAAGACCCATAGAAGTGACATTGAAATGGAACCTTTACCTCTATCAGATGATGAGGAGGATGAAACATTGTTCGATTTAACAGCGAGTAGGACGACATAACTAAAACTAGCTTAAGTCTAACGAGGGTTAACCCAGGATTGGGTATTTTGGAGATATTTATTAATACGTTACAGTAACATTTCCTAGTTGCCTTATTACTTTAACGGGTGTAAATATGTATAGCGCTTCTAAGAAGACTGAATCAGCACTATTCAGTGATATATTTGTACTTTATAATACACTGTTAGGTTTTTTTTGTTTTACTTTAATATCAAGCATTCTGTAATAAAAATGTTTTGTCGCAATCTGGTTTTCCAAAGCTTTGCATTTATGTACTTAAATAATTTTTGAATATTCGAAAAAAGCTGGTTTTTATTTAATTCAAATGGGAGAAACTGCAGTTGAGCTAGTCCTTAACGCAAAAAAATTTAAAGTGTACTACAGTTAAATTATGATATATTATTAATAAATATATAAGTTGAAATTTTAACCAAATATTTAAATAACACCATGTTTTATGAAGTCACAAACATCGAAATATATTACTTACTTTTGCCATCGTTTTGCTAATAACCTACATATCTTTCTTGTTGTATTGAACCCTGGTAAAGCTTAAAATTACATAAATATTGGAAAAATATCTACCTGAAAATCCGGGTACAATTTGTTGAACATCAAAATGACCTGCAACCATAATAGTTTATTTTAATTGCTTTTCACATTCTTCAAAAGCTAACATTTTTCGCTTCTTACGTATTCGTATCTTTCTATCTGGTTGGCATGCAAATTTTTTGGGAATACACCCTGGATTCATTCGCACTTGTGATACTGAGCCCATCAAATGATACTGCATATAGTTTTGCATATCATTAGGCAGCTGAAAGGAGAATAAATAGTCTAGGGAGGTGATCATGTCGTTTGAGTGCCTCCGAATTTTTTGCATTTTTATGTTTGACCTTAAAAAACACATTAAATTGGCAGTTTCAGCGAAAAAACAAACAAACTTTTGAAATTCGCTTTCCCAAAACCACTTATTTATGCACGAAAATCAGATTGTCCGATGCTATTTACTGCTAAATCGTGTGTTATGTATCAACCAATCTTAACTCCACATGCAAAATTGTCGCTAAGATGCATAACAATTGTGTTTTTTCGCAAAAGTTAGCCGGAAAATGCTGATTTTTCTCAAACTTTGTGAGGGTTTTTTTCGCTGAAACTGCTTAATTTAAAGTAATAACAACAAGAAAAAACTAAAAATTCAGAGGGACTCAAACGATACAATTACTTTTAAAGTGCGCTTTAAGGTAAGACAAGAGAAAACAAAAATCGGAGGGATTCAAAAGATACGTTTAACGTCACTATAGGAAATGATAAAAACCAAAACAAACATAACCTCGGCTAATTATTTATATAATGTTAATATAATTGATATTTAAACTCAAAAATGAATTCTCAATTACGCACCGATAAATCTAAAGCAAATACTTACATCAAAGTGGTCTTCACAAAAATAAAGTCTCGTATTACTGCTTAGATCTGCTGGGTTTCGTCTTGCCATCCTGAGCCATTTGTCTCTCACTATTTTCTTGCTTGGAACGTAAACAAACAATTTATTAGGTGTTGTTACTGATGTGTTTTTGCACAGAGGAACCGCACAGCACTTGTAAAATTTCGAAGTCATTTTTAAGACTTAAAATGTATATTTTGTGAACTTCCCGCTTTGAGCATAGACAGTGTAAACTGTACGAGGGCTTGACGTCACAAAGGGGGCGCCATGACACCAACGAGCGTTTTCGCGCTTAATTCAAAATATAAATATAAAAAATCGATTTCAACTGCTTAAGTAAGTGCCACATTTTATGTGTTTCTGCCATAATATTGAGTTTAGTCCTCTTACAATATGTAGGAGCACATATGGAAGTCTCGAAAGAATTTTCATTAAAATGGCTAGACAAATACGGTGTTACAAAAATGATTGGCTCTAATTAAGTCAAATTATTGAACAATTACATTAAACAAACACACATTAACAGTAGGCCATTCACCCTACTAATTAATGTAAAAGAACATATTGGGAACGATTTGTAACAATCGTAAATGAGCCATTAGCGCATCCACCTTATACATAATATATTTAAGGGTAGTTTTTGCCCGTAGCAGCTGATTTTGACAAACGCCACCAGGGTAAAATGGCTGAATAGGGGAAAGTGAAAGGGTCCGTGAATGTATTAAAAAATTACGATTTAACTCGGGTTTAATTAAGGAACCTTCTGCCACGCAGTAGGAAAACCGTGGTGGTGACGGTGAAAAATGTCGGAGCTCAATCAGGAAAATGCAGATTCAAGCGAATTAATAGAAACTATGGGCACGATTCGCCGGAGAAAATTGGTAAAATGTGCTAAAGAAACCCTTGGTCAAGGTAATTACATGTAACTTACCGCTTATGATCTCCACTGAATATTAAAAAATCTATAAAACGCCTCCTTTAAATCTTCCCGTTAATTAAGACCTTCGATTATCGACTAAAGACTACTATCAAGGCAAAGGCTGTATATACAGTAGTTGTAACTAATTATTTTCTACATATTTCACTCCTTACTGAATAATACATCCACTATTAAACTGAACAGCGGCATATAGAATAGATATGCAATGCGCACTGATTACAATAAAAAAAATGGTAATTTATTAACAAGTTCAGACTGTTTTTGTGCCGATTAAAAAAATTCGCCTCAGAATAGAGTGCTAAGTAGCTTGACATTGAGCGTGATAAGTCCTGGAAAGGAGTTTTTTCCTAACGTTTCGCAAGCATTAGTAACTTGCATCTTCAGAGGTGATTGCGCCGCACAGCAAGGAAGGAATTATTTTCACGATGGACTAAAAGCCGGTAAATACTCTCAGAAAGTAGCACAAACATTTTTTTTTTTTAATTAGACGTCGTATCGTCTCTGCTATGATCAGGATGGTTTAACTATCGAAGAAGCCACAGCAGAAACGAGCATTCAGTCATAAGATGTTTGGTCAGAAGTCATAAGAATCGAGTTTCCGATAGTCTCTGGATATTCACTCTTAAAATGTACGGTCTAAGAGTCATAAGTCGTAGTTAAGGTTCGGCTACAAGTTAAATCTATTGTTTGTATTAATTTGGAAATAAATTATTTTCAAAAAGCAAACTTTCAAATTAATAAATAAAATTCTACTTTATATCGGCGTTTAGAATTCAAATATTTGTCGAAATAAATACTCTTGTTTACTCTATCAGTAAACAAAATATACACCTTTAAAATCGTTCTTTTATTTAATTTACAACAAACTAATCAGGCTATTTTTCTTATGAATTGTCTTTCGATTTATTAGCATTTTTAAGGCTGCTCATCTACAATTTTGCATCTAATTAATTTTTTAATAACATTTTTTCTATTATTTTCCAATCTCAGGTCGCATCATTATGAAAGTAACTCGAAAGCGATGATAGATATAAACACAATACAAAAAGCAGAAGAAATTCAATGCTTAGGGATAAAATACAAAAAAGTGAAACGAATTCTGACATAGCTAAGGATGCACTCATTAATAAGTACAAATTTGAGATGAATATCTGATAATTACGAGGAGATGTGGAGAAAAAGCTGCAAAACAACTTTGACACCCTGTACCTCTTATGAACTTTCTGTCTTCTTTCTAATTGTAGAATCTCTCTAGTCGTTCTCTCTTATGAAACTCCAACTACGGTTGCCAAAACTATCAATCTTTCAGATTACTATCGCATTTTCGTCTCCATCATCCAAACAACCTCAGGATGTAAGACTAATGAAAGAAAATCTATACTGGTGATAAATTTACTTAAGACGCAATTTTTCATCTGTCCGCTGGTTTAATAGTCCATCTTCTCATTGCAATTGCAATTTTAATCATTCGTATTCCTATTCTTCTTCGAGTGTCGCTCTCACTTGACCATATTTTACTACTACATTTACTAACCCAAACTAACCCAAGTAGGTTTTCTGTGCATTTAGAAGAAGAAATGCATTCGACTGTCCTCTAATGCTGCTATCAACGTTGTATCGTCTGCATATATCAAGTTTGCAATATTTTGCCCTCCGTTGAGATTCCTTAACGTTTTCCTTTTCTCATTATGTCTTCTCCATGAGATGCTAAAGATATCTGGAGACAGAATGCATCTCTAACAAACGCCTCGAAGTCTTAATTTGAGCACATTGTTTTGGTCAAATAATAAAGGTTTTATTATTTAGCCAGACCTCGCGAGAAAGCTTCCATAGTATTTTTCAGCTGACCCAGTCAAAGGCCTTTAGGTACCTAATTTAAGAAACAGTTGACCATTGGAATATTGAAGAATCTGTTCTCTAATTCAACGTTCTAGATACTATCTAGATCAGTTAAGATTTTAGTATCGCGTTGATCTAGATTCTGCAAAAGTTCTCCTGTTATATAGTCGAAAGCTGAAGATTCTCCTTTTCTTAAATGTACTATTGGCTCCTCTACCTCTACTTGTCTGATATTCAGTTCGTGCTGTTATGTTAAGAAATCTCTCTAAGAAAGAAATAAGAAATAGAGATTTATATGCAGTCAAAACATTGCGACCTCGTTTGAAAACACCCTATTTAAGTCGTTGAAACTCAATGTTACCACAAGTATTTATTGCAGCTTCCGAGCTACTGAAGAAAAAAATTCCTTGCGCCGGTCATTTCCTGGCGCCGAAACGACTTTGGCTGAAACGCGTCTCAACCCCTAATTGCGACTTGGTTGTCTGTTTCCCACCTGGGACAGACGATCAGTTCCTTCTATGGCTTCTACCCAAGTTGAAACAATCTACTGGCTTGACCATCCATGTTCGATACCATGCTTCTACCCAGAGCAGTGCTTTTTATGTAACCGCATCGAATCAAGTGTAAGTAAATGATTTTCTTCTTTATCATAGACGGAGGACGAGTGACTCCTTAGCGGAACTTTCCAGAAGTGTTAACAACAACTCAGAAAATATCATTTCAATACCTCGGTTTAGTTGGGATAGTTTCTGATTTTATATTATTATGATACAATCAAAGGTTGGAGCAAAAAACTTAAATGATCGAGACTCGGAAGTATTTAAATAATTATCTGTTTATACTAAAGGCTGCTCCACGCAGCAGAAGAATATCATCTGTCGAAAGCTCTTAAGCCATCAAAAGGTGGGGGTTTGAAGGAGTTCTTCGTCCAAGAGCAGGATTTTTATGAAGGGTCCGAGTCTGCAGAGCATTTTTTTACCACTGAAGAAAGACAGTGGCTCGTTTTGAGAGTGCTTGAGAGTGTCAGAGCGAAGAAAGAGGAACTGCGCGTTATTCCAAGCGTTACATTGCTGGAAGGTCAGCCGATAGGTATGGGCGCAAAGGGTTCATTTTAACGCAATTCAACAAACAGATTATTTCATTTTTAGTGCCAAAGTTTTTGACTAGTGGGGTAATATCGCAGGTTTTTCCAATTCATGAGCCGCCCGCGCTTGAGCGGCTACAGCAGACTTGGGTTCAAGACATTTTCGCTAAACAACCTCTTGGTAAGGCATTTTTTTTGGAAGATGCACCAGAGCTGCAGAAATTGAAATTGTCTTCCAGATGAAATTACCGAATACTTTGGAGTTAAAATTGGAATGTACTTCGCATGGCTGGGACATTATACTACAGCGTTGAGCATTCCTGCTGTAGTGGGATTCATATTTTGGGTATGCCCATCATCCAATCATGCCCAGTTTATTAAATATCATCAAAAATCGTTCCTTAGTTGACTTGTACAAGTAAACATCAGACTATCCAAGACGTTGGTTATGTGGTATTTTCAATATTCAACGTGGTTTGGGTGACAACGTATCTTCAAGCCTGGAAAAGATATTCCGCAGAGCTGGCCTTTAGATGGGGCACGTTAGATCAAAGGGACGATCTACTAGCGGAGCCGAGACCGTTGTTTAGAGTGAGCATTTAAGCCTTTTACTCATTATTTGCATTCCACTTGTTCATACTGAGCGCTTAGTTGCTTCAGATGGTAATATGTTTGACAGAGATGAGCCCGTTTAGTAGGCGAAAAGAGCTAATAAATGAAGATTTTTGAGGGTATCGTTAAGAAGCTTCGGGGCGCTAAAGTTTTATTAAAAAAACAGACAAAAATATTAAGAAATTGTAAACCGCCTGGACTGTTTTAATAAAACTGAAGAAGTC